TTTTACCTCAAATTTTAATCATTCATTTGTCTTACAACCAAGAAAAGTACAAGTATTTTTCGGCCTATATACTTTCATTAATATTTTTCGCCTTTTTTAGAAGTTCATATCATTTTATTTTTATTTTGATAGATTTTTTTATTTGATAGATTTAAGGGGTGGGAGTATAAGTTGAGTTCCACTACATGAACATATTGTATAACGATGGAGTCCGGGCTTTTTATGTACCCAGATAGTGCCTGTTGTACCCCATAGATAATTTTTCATCTCTTACATCTTCTTACCCTCCCTCCGTGTGAGTCTTCGGTGTCCATTATACCACTCTGTATGCCTTTGTGTAGCCATAGGTTAGTTCCCATTTTTAAGTGAGAACATGTGACATTTATTTTTCTGTTTCTAGGTTACTTAATATAATGGCCTCCAGTTCCATCCAAGTTGCTGCAAAAGCTGTTATTTCATTCTTTATGTTGTTGAGTAGTACTCCATGGTGTGTGTATATGTATTTCTATATGTGTGTATATGAACACCACATTTTCTTAATCCACTCATCAGTTGATGGGCAAGTGGTTAGGTTGGTTCCATAGCTTTGTGTTTGTGGATAAATATACAAGTATAGGTACCTTTTTCATGTGATTTCTTTTCCTCTGAGTAGATGTACTCAGTAGTGAGATCGCAGATTGGAAAAGTTCTTTGAGAACTTTGATTGATCTCCACAGAAGTTGTACTAATTTACACTCCCACCAGCAGTGTGTAAGTCTTCCCTTTTGACCACATTCCTACCAATATTTATTGTTTTTCTGCCCTTTTGTTAATGGCATTCCAATTGGAGTAAGATGGTATCTCATTGTGGTTTTAATTTGCATTTCTCTGATGATTAGTGATGTTATACATTTCTCAAGTGTTTTTTGGCCATTTGTATATCTTATTTACCCCTGTTTGTGTCACTTGCCTACTTATTAAGGGGGTTGTTTTTTTCTTGATGGTTTGAGTTCTTTGTAGATTCTAGATTTAGTCCTTTGTCAAAAGCCCAGTTTAAGAATATTTTTTAATTCTTTAGGATTACAGGTATCTCATGCCTGTGTTCCTAGCACTCTGGGAAGCCAAGGCAGATGGATTGCTTGAGCTTAAGAGTTCAAGACCAATCTGAGCAAGGGTGAGACCCCTGTCTCAGCTAAAACTAGAAAAACTAGCTGTACATTGTGGCAGGAGCATGTAATTCCAGCTACTCAGGAGGCTGAGGCAAGAGGAACTTTTGAGCCCAAGAGACTGCTGTGAGCTATGATGCCATAACATTCTACCCAGGGCACAGAGTGAGACTCTGTCTCAAAAAAAAAAAAAGGAAAAAAAATTTTTCTCTTATTCTGTAGGTTGTCTCTTTATCTTTTGATTATTTTCGTATGTAGAAGCAAAATATTTTTAGTTTAAGTCCCACCTTTCATTAATATTTTAATTATAACAATCTGTATTTAAATTCTATAGTTGGACCCTCCTGAATAAACATAGTCAGTTCTTAGGTATAGTGAACTGGAACTATACCTAAGAACTGACTGTGCTTAAAATTATACCTAAAATATGATTCATCTTGGTTTCCTTTTTCTGTTTAAAAATGTTAAAAGTGACCACTGGGAATTCAGCCAGACAGAATACTTAAGCCATCATAGTATCATTAAAAATAGTATGAATCTCAACCACATAAAGCAAACTCAATTCAAAACTAGGCAAAGGACTTGAATGAAATACGGAAATACGTGGCTCATAAGCACATAAAAAGATGCTCAACATCACTAATTATAGGGAATTGCAAATCAAAATTATAATGAGATATGGCTTTACACTCATTAGGGTAGTTACTTTCAAAAAACAGAAAATAACATGTTGGTGAGGATGTGGAAAAATTGGAATCTGTGTGCACTGTTAGTGGGAATATAAAATGGTCCAGCCATAATAGAAAGTATTACAGTAGTTTCTGAAAAAAATTAAACATAGAATTACAGTATTACCTAGCAATTCTTCTTCAAGTATATGGCCAAAGAATTGAACGCAGAGCCTCAAAAAGGTATTTCTAAACCTGTGTCCACAGCAGCATTATTCATAATAGGTAAAATCTGGAAACAAATATCAGTTGATCAACAGATGAATGGGGAAGCAAAATGTGGAATGTTATTCAGCTTTAAAAAGGAAGGAAATTCTGTTATAACATGCATGAACCTTGAGGACATTATGCTAATTAAAATTACCCAATCCCAAAAAAGATAATACTCTATGATTCTACTTACATGAGGTACTTCTTAGTAGTAAGAAATCAGTAGAGACAGAAGGTTGAATGGTAGTTGACAGGGACTAAGAATAGGGGGAATAAGGAGTTACTTTTTCATAGGCACAGAGTTTTAGTCTTACAAGAATAGAGTTAAGGAAATTGACTTTCATGATGGTTGCACAGCATTATGGATGTATTTAATACACATGACGAGGATGGTAGTTTTATGTTAACTTATATTTTACAACAATGAAATGGGGGAGAAAGTAGCCTTTTCTTCAGTGCTCATTTTCTACCATGATTTCTCCAATATCAAATTTACTTTTTCTCTATTCTGTTACAGCTAAAAAAAAAAAAATCAGTGATATAGTGCAATGTATACTTGGGCTTTCTATGGCATTTGAAAGTTGAACCCCATTTTCCCGATAGACACAAAATTCATGGGGCTTTTAACTCACTATTAAGTTGATCTGACCTAATATGTATAAAAAATTAAAAATAGATGACCAGTATTCTCAAAGAACCATAAAAATTCAAAACATACTAAAGAATAGACACTTGGAAGAAGTTAACTGAAAATCCTAAGTTGGAATCAAGTGAATGAGTATGTTTTAATTTTTTTTTTTGTTTGAGACAGAGTTTGGATAGAGTGCTATGGCATCATAGCTCACAGCAGCCTCAAACTTTTGGGCTCAAGCAGTCCTCTTTGCCTCACCTTCCAGAGTAGCTGGGAGTACAGGCATCTGCCACAACCCCCAGCTAGTTTTTCTATTTTTAGTAGAGACAGGGTCTCTTACCTAGGCTGGTCTCAAACTCCTGAGCTGGAAAAATCCCCCTGCCTTGCCCTCCTGGAATTACTAGGATTACAGGAGTTGGCTACCATACCTGGCATGAATGAATGTGTTTTAAATCACTTGGTTTGTGTTCCATCTTTTAATCAATGTCTATGAATCAAGATATTACCTAAGCATTTCAGGCTCCTTTCTTACATCTTATAAATTCTCAAAGAGATTTATTATGCTTTCAGGAAATCAATAAACATTTCTTAGGCTTGTGTATGTAAAGAACAGAAAAACAAAAAGCTTAATTGGTCCAGCTGTATATTGTTGTTTATTTAACTTAAAAATAAGCTAAAAATTGCCAGCCCCATATACCAGAGGTCACAGGTTCAAACCCAGCCCCAGCCAAAAACTGCAAAAAAATAATAATAATAATAAAATAAAATAAAAATAAGCTTAAAAAAATAGGAAATAAGTAATATAAAGTATAGTATTTTATAGTAATATACCCAGATAGAGTTAAGAAGCAGATAAAAATGTCTTAACTGGGCAAGGTAATAGTAAGTTAGTCTTCATGGAAGATAACTAAGCTTACAAATAGTAGGAATTATAATTCTTGTGCTGGATTCTGGGAAATAAGAATAGCTAACAATGTATGTTTCATGGTTTCAAATTTGTAACTTTTGTTTTTATCATTTTAAGCAATAAGATTTGTGGTAGTTTTATATAATCCAAACTTTGGCGGTATTTATATATAAGTAGAATATAGAAAATTAACTTATTTGGCCCTACTAACATAACAGAAACTAAGGCTGACATTTTTAGGTAAATAATTCAGAAATTTGTCTTTTATGTTCTTTGCCTTGGAAAAGATGGCAGCAGTCCTGTATATGTTAGAGGTTCCTTTTTAATTAATTTTTGTTGTTTTTCTTTCATTCTTTTTTTTTAAATTCACATCATCTAACTATAGTTATTTAGTTCAAAAGAAGACAAATTAAATCCTTGGCCAGCTCTGTCCCCTGCCCACAACTTTCTCCAAATTGTAATTTGTCAGGAGCTGGGCACGGTGGCTCACGCCTGTAATAATTCTAGCACTCTGGGAGGCCGAGGTGGGTAGATTGCCTGAGCTCACAGGTTTGAGACCAGCCTGAGCTAGAGTGAGACCTCATCTCTAAAAATAGGCAGGCATTGTGGCAGGCACCTATAGTCTTAGCTACTTGGGAGGCTGAGACAAGAGAACCATTTGAGCCCAAGAGATTGAGGTTGCTGTGAGCTATGACACCATGGCACTCTACCAAGGGTGATAAAGCGAGACTCTGTCTTAAAAAAAAAAAAGAAAATTGGAATTTGTCAGTATAAACTTGACTTTGTTCAGCCCCCATAGTTCTACACCTGGCATCTCCCCAGACCCTTTTAAAATTTACTCTTGGCAAGTGATTGAGATCCAGCTGGTAGCACTATAAAGTTCTGAAGAGGCAGCTTTTAGGATAGCTAGTCCTACTTACGTCCAAGGACACAGAACTAGTGGTGTCTGACAGGTGCACCGTATGCCTGGGGCCCCTTCCATTGTACTCTACAGAGCAACAGGGATGTCTAGGACAGTGCTATTGAATAGAACTTTCTGCCTTGATGGAGATGTTTTTGTTTGTTTGTTTGTGACAGAGTCTCACTTTGTCACCCTCAGTAGAGAGCTGTGGCATCATTACAGCAACCTCAAACTCTTGGGCTCAAGAGATCCTTTTGCCTCAGCCTCCCAAGTAGCTGGGACTATAGGTGCCTGCTACAATGCCCAGCTATTTTTAGAGACAGGGTCTCGCTCTTCCTCAGGCTGATCTTGAACCTGTGAGCTCAGGCAATCCACCCACCTCAGCCTCCTAGTGTTAGGATTATAGGTATGAGCCACTGCACATGATGGAAATATCTGTATTGTCCAATATGATAGCCATTAATGATGTGAGTCTGTTGAGCACTTGGAATGTGGCTAGTGCACCTAAGGACTTAAGATTTGAATTTTGTTTAATTTTAATTTAAGTAGCCACATGTGTAGGAAGGAAGATGTCCTAGGAAGATTTGTTGGGAGAATGAAGATAGTCGAGTATCTCCCAGAGCAACAAAATGGGACTCATGAGCAGGAGCTAGATGGTGTGAGCTCCACATGCTACCTTCCACTGTGCTGGGGTTTGTCATCCCAGGTTTTATTTCCCACTTGTTCCTTTCCTCTCCCTGCTACATTAGTCTGATAGATATCTACAGATTTGTTGTTGGTTGTCATTCACAAATTTGAGTTCTCTCTTCTTTGTGGGAACACTCAGTATCTTACCCTTTGAGTTGACAGGAATAAGTCTGAGGCTGTACTGACAGTCCCCAATTTATAGGCAGTCTAAGACTTATGTACAACTCGCACTTACAAACAGAGGCTATTACAATAAGTCCCCGAGCACAACTCACACTTACAGATGGAAGTTATTACAAGTAAGTGTACTTGTTCCAACTTATATAGAAATTCAACTTAAACCTACAGAACCTATTTCACTTATAATCCAGGGACTGCCTAGTACCTAAACTGGTACTGAGAGATTGTTGTTTTTGCTTCATCCTAGAGTAGTTCTCTGATATGTCTTTAAGCACTACAAAGAATTGGAATATGATTTTGGTAAATTTTAAGTAAAACCTTACATGCAAAATGGATGATGCCATTCTCAGAGAAAAGTTTGGACTTCACATTCATTCAGGGAAGCTGTTTATACATATTGTTGTTTACTTAATACTGTTTTAGTGTTTGTTTTCTTAATCTTTGAGACAGAGTCTCACTACATCACTGGGACTAGAGTATAGTGCTGTCATCATAGCTCACTGAAACCTCTAACTCCTGGGTGCAAGTGATCCTCCTGCCTTAACCTCCCAAATAATTGCTGGGATAACAGGTGGCTAATTTTTCTGTTTTCTGTAGAAATGAGGTCTCCTTGCTCAGGCTGGTCTTGAACTCCTGGCCTCAAGTAACCCTTCCACCTTCCCCTCCCCAAAAGTGTTAGGATTGCAGACATGTGCCACCATGCCCGGCCTGTTTTTGTGAGTTCGATGGTTAGCCTGTAAATGCTACAACTGAAGAATTTAGTCTGTCTAAATCCATATAGAGTTATAGCAGGTAATGACTCTTTGTACAAAACATATACATATAAGGGCTTTATGAGAGTTGGTATTAGCAATAGGGGTAGTTTCCAAGAGAAATATCTGAATTCTTAAGATTCTTAATACTTTTAAATAAAGTAAAAACCCCAACTTTAAACTGTCATAATTCCTTGTAAGTATTTTTACTGAAGTAGTAGTGAATGGACTCTGATGTATCTGTCTCTTATTTACTTGTTTGCTTGTTTGTAAGACAACTCTTCGCTGTCCATATGTTTCTCCCTAGAGGTAAATAAATTATTCTAAATGCTGCTTCATGGCATTGTCAGTTTTTTTTTTTTTGCCATTTTTGGCCAGGGCTGGATTTGAACCCGCCACCTCTGGCATATGGGACCGGCGCCCTATCCTTTTGAACCACAGGCACCACCCAACTTCCTCTTTTCTTTAACCTTCATGAAGTAGGTAGCTTAAAACCCCCCTAATTTTTGTCCATTCCTAAGGTTTTCTTATTAACCATTAACAAGGTTATTCCATTAAGATTTTTCCTAGTATATCTACTTTGTAACTGACTACTTTACAAGATCCTTTTATTACTTTTTTTTGAGACAGAGTCTCACTTTGTCACCCTCTGTAGAGTTCCATAGCTTCATAGCTCACAGTAACCTCAATCTCTTGGGCTCAAGCAATTCTCTTGCCTCAGCCTCCCGAGTAGCTGGGACTACAGGCACCCACCACAATACCTGGTTATTTTTAGAGATGAGGTCTCACTCTTGATCAGACTGGTCTCGAACCTGTGAGTTCAGGCAAATCCACCTGCCTCAGCCTCCCAGAGTGTTAGGACTTATATTACTTCTTATAGTGTTTTCACTTATCCTTTTGATTTTCAAGTAAACTATCATATTGCTTAAATGTGATGGTACTTTTATCTTCAAAGTCATTTTGAAGTTTCTAATAAGTATTACTAGTAAAGATACCATCTAATGCTCATCAAGGTTTTTGCATTGGACTTTCAGGAAGAATGTTTTATAATATTCATAATGGAAAATTTTAGCCTTTGTTTGTCTTTCACAGAACAAAGCTAAAGAACCAAGATTATGAAACTTTAGATCATTTGGAGTGTGATCTGAATTTGATGTTTGAAAATGCCAAACGCTATAATGTTCCAAATTCAGCCATCTACAAGAGAGTTCTAAAATTACAGCAAGTTATGCAGGTATGATCTCTTGGTTTTGCTAAGTTTGATACATATATATATGACTAAAATAATTTTATGTTTTGAGTGTATTTTTTAAGATATGTGGTTCCCCTGCTTCCCCCAGCAATACCACATCATTCATTTCAACCGTAAGTACTGCTGAATATATTTTTTAGAGTTGTCAGGGCAATATAGAGTAAAAATATTAATTTAGACAGGGTTAGCTTTCTGAGAAGAGGAAGCAGGAACTTGTCTTTGGAAGGTAATTTTAAGATTCTCATAAAGTTACTCTCTTATCATGGTTGATATTCCATCATTTCAGTTTTACTCCTTTGGTTTAGACTTTGTTTCTGTTAAAGTGAGGACAGTCCTTTGTTTCTGTTAAAGTGGGGACAGTCCTATGAGAAATGACCTCTGAAACCTAATTAATAATTGTATCGTGTCCATGAGTATAACAGATCCTCTCTAAGAAAACCCCTCAGAGGGTATGAGTCATGGGTCATTTAGGAGTTTTAAGACAAAAAAGTAGATGTGAAGTAGAAATTAGATCTGTGTGACAGTTTTGGTGGAATTTTCTGGAAAGACAATCTCAGAGCAAAGAAGCAACAAAGGCAATTTTAAGATCACCCATAGAATCTTCATTTTGTATGACCAACACTGTGATCCTTAGTGCTATAACTTTCAGGTATTATCTTTTCAGTACTCTGCATGTATATATTTCCTAAGCTTGTTGTGCTTAGATTTTCAGCTCCATTTGGCAGTAGGTCTTTAAAAATACATGTGTTAAAAGTAGATCTTCTTTCACTTTTCCCATTAAACTTGATTTTTTTTTTTTTTTTTTTTTTAGAGACACAGTCATCACCCTTGGTAGAGTGCTGTGGCATCACAGCTCACAACAACCTCAAGCTTTTGGGCTTAGGCGATTCTCTTGCCTCAGCTTCCTGAGTAGCTGGGACTACAGGCACCTGCCACAGTGCCCAGCTGTTTTCTTTTCTTGTTGCACTTTGCCCGGTCTGGGTTCGAACTCGTCACCCTCGGTATATGGGGCCAGCACCCTACTTGCTAAGCCATAGGTGCTGCCCTAAACTTGATTCTTAATTACACTGCCCCTTAGAAGTCAGGAGTACCAAATGGGCCTCTTTGAATTGGTTTTACTTATATTTGGCCACCTGAGCAGGATGCGCCTATAACTTTCCTCAGTGCTTTCAACCAATTAGTACCCTTTGTAGTCTTAAAAGCTCTGGTTAACATCAATTCCTCAACAATTTGGATCCATTTTTATAAACTATGTCTTTGTTATGCAGGCTTTTGTTAAATTTGATTATTGAAAATGTTTAATAACTCTTTAATTTTGTATGTATGCATCCTGTATGTATCTATACCTTTCTGAGTAAATTGGATATATCTAGTTCTTTAACATTGATATATTCTTAGGAGTGTTCAGCACAGTGAACTTGACTCCTGGGATCTACTCTATTTTAGGCAAAGAAGAAAGAGCTTGCCAGGAGAGACGACATCGAGGATGGAGACAGCATGATCTCTTCAGCCACCTCTGATACGGGTAGTGCCAAGAGAAAAAGGTATATACTTTTCTCAGGACTGGCGATATCTCAGTTCCTATTTATATTGTTTTAGATAAGTACAGAAAAATGGCTTTTTTAAAGCTATCAAGTATGAATTCTGTTATAAACTTTAAATATTTGATGTCTTCTTTTAGAATTCATTTGTAAATTGGATGATTAACTTTTTTGTATAAGTATCATATTGCTTTTAGATAACACAGTTGAAATGACCACTACATATGTAGCTTGGCAAAACATGTCATTCTTTTTGCCATCCAGGTTATTTTTTTAACGTGGCATTTGAAGAGTGCCACTTAATCTAATTTAGGTAATTTCTACATGGTGAATTACAAAATGAAATATGAATTAAGAAAGGTAAGGAGAAATTTCTATACTACAACTCAGTTAAGTAATCATTACTCTGAACTCCTTTTTTGTTAACCTAATCTTTATTTGCCATTTTAAGACTATCAGATTGTTAAATACCAAATCATAACTTCTTATAGCTCATGAAGTGTTCAAATAGATATTTGGGGGTTTTCCCTCTCTCCCCTTTCTCTCAATTTCCCTTACTCTTTCTTCCTCTCCTGGGTATTATGGAAGGGGATCTTACTGTGAAATTCTGAAGTTTAGTTCCTGTAAGGAATCATGCAAGACCATATCATTTGTCTACTTCTCTCACATGGAGTTTCTCTGGCCTGATCATTGAGGAACACTCTATTCTTCCTCAAGCATAACTGTCTTACCATCTTTGCAGCAACAGTCAATCCAGGGAGGGTACCTTAAATAAACAAGGAATAAGCTAATCACTAATAGCAGGGCTTGACAGATTCAAATTTAAATGAAGTTATTAGTAACTGTTGACAGTTTTGTGTATGCATTAAGAGTTCCACTAAGATCAGAAGATTTTAAAAAGTTTAGAAAAGAGAAGCTGTCCTGTCTTTCCCTCATATAAATAGTTTTTGGGAGACTTGTTTAACTTTGCAAATAATTTTTGCCATGGTTAATTAAATTGATTGGTGTACTCTGAGGTGTGAGTCTCCTCCATTACTGGCCTATGAATTTCATCCTTCCAAGTTCTTAATTCCTTGTTATACCAGGGACAACGGAGGAAAAGTATGAAACCAGATCAAAGACATCAAATCAAGAACATCTTTGAGTATAATTATATAACTCTACTACAGCATCACCTGTGTTTTCCAGATCAGTCACCAATCAAAGATTAAAACTTCTCAGGCAAAAGAAGGTAATGGAGGCAAAAGTGATGGTACAATTAGTGCCAACACTGGATGAAAAGAGAGATCTTAAATTAATTGTTAAGAAAATAGTTCCAAAGAAGCATCAGCCCAGGCCAGATCCTTAAAAATTATATATCTCTGTAGCTTGTAATTTGTGGGACACTCAAATACATTAAATGAAAGATAGCCCTGAAACCTTCTGTAAAAAAGAAAACTAAGCTTTATGTTCTTGAAATAATAAAATTCTACTTCAATCAAAAAGTCTTTATGAACAGTTTTCCCAGGAAGTATTTTATACAGTGAAGAGATAACACAAATAAGACCCATCTGCTAAAGTAATAAAAGAACAAACCTGAGTTTGAAATGCAGACATGAGTGGATGTTAAAAGATTAAGAGAATTAAGTTGTGTCTATGGACTATGACAAAGAAAATAACATGATGAGCCTTGTAGGAAGTATTAAGAAATAGACTTCTTCAGAAGTCAGGCAAATAGCAGCCTAGATAGTTAAACTAAACTTGGCCATAGAAATCAGAGCCAAGTTTTCCAAGTACACTTTAACTCCTAAGTATTGTGTATGATTCTACCTTGACCTTATTTTTTAATATCAAAGAATGTGAGAAAAATTAAATGTGGGTATGTTCTTTTCATTCTGGGAGTACATTCTTTTCCCTCACCACTTTACCCCAAAATCCACCTTCTGTCTTCTGTGTTGAAATGTTCCAAGTAGTATTATCTTTCAGCCTTTGGATTAAACCATATTTGGTTTATACCCTCCAATGTTGCTTGTTTTGTTTCTCTTCACAAGTAATGTTTGTTTCTGCTTTCCCAGGAACACTCATGACAGTGAGATGTTGGGTCTCAGGAGGCTATCCAGGTGTGCAGTCCTTTTTTATGCATAAACATTCTTTTAAAAGTACAACTTTTCTGTGGCATGGTCAGTAATGATTAGGTGAAAAGTAAAACCTTAAGCATGTGAAAAAAGTCTTTGTTTGGGTGCCAGTTTATTTCATGAATAAAGAAAGCAACGCAGTTTAGAAGTCTAGTTATTACAATAAGTTCAGAAGTAGTTAGTCTAGATATGTTCATGAGTAGCCTTAATTTGTTGTTAGCTTTGCCAGAGGCAGAAAAACCTCTCACCAATCATTGTAGCTATATTTCTGTATCAAAAGATAGAAAGTAGCATTGCCAGTGACCAGGGACTGGCAAGTTCTGAGTCTCTTTTAAGGACATCTTTTACTCTTGAGGGAGGTGGAGGGATCAAAATCAACATTGACAATCCAAGTGATGTCAATGAATGTCATCACCAAGCACTGGATTAGTGTTTCACCAGCATGGATACATTTCCTTAGTCTCTGATCTTGTCCATGTCTTTAAAAAAAAAAAAAATCCATTCTTTTGCGTGTCACTTATAATTTGAAAAACAACTTATGAGTTGCCATGCCATAGTGCTTGTAATGATTGTATAGTGTTTTTGTTTTCACATTTGCCATCTGTTAATCATGGTATCAGCTGCTTATAGAATATTAGAGTCTGCTATTAACAGATTATAAAGGAGACTATTGAGTCATCTCTTCTACCTACCAGGATCTTATTGGCCAGGGGAAAAGGCAGTTTAAAAAGAAATGAAATTATATGAAAACAATGTAATAAAATAAGATACACAGCTTGCATAAGGTACACAGCTATGTAGTTGTATGGAAATGTCTCATCATTGTCCAGATAACTATAGAACAGATTATTTCTCCTCACCATGCTTTTACTTGAAAGATAAGAGTCCTAAAAAAAAAAAAA